TGCGTATATGGATATTTTATTACTTCGTATATCATCTAAGAGTTTAAAACCGTGTATCACAATGGTTATAATCCTATTCTCTAAAAGTTACAGAAAATGTCAGAGGCGACATCTCATACCTTTTCTGCTTTTTTTTTATTCATTAGTCTTGAGTAACCAAATCAAACTAATATAAAGAGATCCCACTGTTAAATACTATAACACATTTTATAGTGAAAAACGCCTTATTTCTTCCTGTAAAATTGAGCTTTTGAGCTCATACGGTTTTGACATGACATTCTGCCCTTTTTAAATGCCCGTGAGAAGTTCCTTGTATGATGAAAGATAAAAGACGCAAGAAAAATTTAAATTTAAATTACTTTCGGTTACCCCTGTGAGTCAGGGGATTTACGGATTCACGGATTTACAACGCTAAAATTTAGGGTTCGATTCTCTGCGGTGGGGAGAGTGCAGTGTGTAATTTTATGCTAAAAACAAACAAACTCATGGTTTGAGTTAAGTTTGAATGTGCAGCTCGTCGGTCTACGAACTTTCAAACACTATATTGCTAAGATGGCCCAGCCAACCTGTAAAGTGTAATCAGGCTAATCACAGCGCTCCTAGCGGCAGGTTTGATTGAGATCTAGCTATTTATTTGAATTAAAGCTTAAAAAAGAGTGACAACTATGGCTTATGTGTTTAATAAACATTCTAATTATTAACTGCTATTATGATCTTGGTTTTATTCCTTCCCAAAACTTGTTACATCTTTCGAGTTTCCCCACGAGTCATAAAGTGTGAGGTTAAATTTGATAAGTTTACCAAATCCAAGTGTGAGGTTAAATAGGCAGTTCGATAAGTTTACCAACTCAGCCTTCAGATGGCACAGTTCATGTTTCATTACGCTCGTACAGTTTGTTTGTGATTAACCACAAAGTTAACAATGGGCTATCTGTCACGGGATCGAAACCTAGTTTTTAGCGTTAAAAGCCCGAAGACGTACCGTTGTTCCACTGGGGAGCGCCGCTCGTACAGATAAGGAGTAGGTCTGTTTTAGCGATAAAGGGTCTTTTGGGTAAAGTGACCAGACTTTCAAACCGAAAAAACCGGGACAACCCAACTCCTTAGCCCCTAATTTGAAAATGGTTGTTACAAAGTTGTAATAATTTAATTTTTTTATGTAATTTAGTTTAAATTTATTGAACTGTTCCACACTATTTCCAAATATATTAACATCGGTATTGTTTTTGAACTCTTTTTTTCTTTGTGGTGATAGACACACATTCACCAACTGCTATAGGTCTACTAAAGTACTTCTAACTAAAATAAAAACAAAAAAAAACGGCATGGAGCAGTGTAAGACTAGAGGGAAGGCAGCTAGTCATCACCACCCACTGCCAACTCTTGGGCTACTCTTTTAATAACGAACAGTGGGACTGACCGTCACATTATAACGCCTCCACGGCTGACAGGGCGAGCATGTTTGGTAGGACGGGTATTCGAACCCGCGACCCTCATATTGAGGGTCGAGCACCCTAACCCTCTAGTCTTACACTGCTAAATTAGGGACGGCTAGCGCAGATAGTCCTCGTGTAGCTTTGCGCGAAATTAAAACAAACAAACACAAAGTGAGTAATAATATTTTACTCCAATCACTTGTTTTCTAATAAATGTAACCATAAATTTCACCACCAGAAGCTAGGACTTCACAAGATCTCATCCTCCGCAAAAGCAAACAGAGGCTACGAGTGAATGTATATGTCATAATTTTGAGGTTAATAATGCCATGCGTAAATTAATTACCACAAAGATAGCTAGACAGTTAATAAACAGTTAACATCGAACAACGGGAAGAGCAAGAAGTTATTATATGATGCTCAAATCAATTTCTTAATAGTTACAGAGCGAATCTTCACATTGATAACATGTGGTTTTGTTCTCAGATTCGTGTCATATCACTGAAATCATTCCATCTCCAAAGCGACGTATTTCTTGCCCCGAATATAGTAGATATTGAAATTACTAGAGAAGTATGGTGGGGCTGAAGTGGGGGTATTCACGGAAGAAATCATAGGACATTTGTTTTGTTTAAAATTGAATGATTAATTCTGTGAACAGTCGTTTGTTGTAATTTAATTAATCATTGTTTTTTTAAAAATAAAACCTACTTCATTACGGTTTTACATAACACACTTACACACATACACACACACATATATACCACAATTGATGCAGTTGGCTTTTATTTACTGTCGGTAACCAACTTAAAAGACAAAGAAAAAAAACTTTTTTGGTGTGTGTGAGTGTCTTCAATCAATACAAGAATGACAATCAAGATTGTAAACTAAAACACTTACCCTGTCTCTGATTTATTTGTGATAATGTAACAAACTGGTGCAAGAACAATCAGGATTCCAAATAAAACACTTACCCTGTCTCTGATTTCTTTGTGACAATGTAACAAACTGGTGCAATGACAATCAGGATTACGCATTAAAACACTTACCCTGTCTCTGATTTCTTTGTGACAATGTAACAAACTGGTGTAATGACAATCAGGATTACGCATTAAAACACTTACCCTGTCTCTGATTTCTTTGTGACAATGTAACAAACTGGTGCAAGGACAATCAGGATTACAAACTAAAACACTTACCCTGTCTCTGATTTCTTTGTGACAATGTAACAAACTGGTGCAAGGCTACAGTTTTCATTTAGGGAGAGCCGCTCAAAATTTACAATTCGCACGCTATTGGAAAATGTCTGTCATGAAGAGCCAGGCTGAAAAGTAATGATGATTATTACAATAATTACGTAAGGTATCATCGCCTCGGGTAGGTTTCTAAGTGGTTGCCATAGTTACTAACTTGCAGTGGTTGTTGAACCCGAGTCTTTCATTTCTCTTCAGTTGTCATTGATTTTGTTTTTTCAAACCTGAAGTGACAAAAGTTACCTATAACCCGCGCTTTGAAAGCACGACTGAGATTTATATGTAATATTCAGTCTGTACATCTATCTATCTATGGATACACTGCAGGTATTGTTGGTGTGGCAAATGAGTAAAGCTCTCACTAATTTTAATTGAACTTGAAACCTAAAACTACAAGCTGAAACATGGAAAATCTAGTCGTGAAACGTATCTATAATATAAATAACATAAAACAAACATATAGAATCTCTTTGTTATAACAATGCCGGAAGTCAATGAAAACCTAAAGCAATGTGTTAAAAAAACAGAAGTTTTGTTTAAGTTCGTGTTTGTTTCAGAGCGCGAGTTGGCCTTGTGTTAGAGCACTGGACTTCGGAGCTGGGTTCGCATCTGAGCAATAACATAAAATATTCCATGTACTATGGGATGTGGGTGCGTTATAAAAGTGACAGCCAACCCCTTAGCTTGGATAGTGGGTAGTAAGGATTTAATAGCTTTGTCATAAATATAAGAACAAATGGTGGTTGTTTCGGATATTTTCATATTAACAGATTGAAGAACGTGCCGAAATTTTTAGGAGTAACACTATAAATAAATTATTAAAAACTGACCAGCGTTTTTACAAATTTATGTTTCACTCTACATCTTCAACTACTGAATATTTCCTGGTTGACTCATTTTTAAAATTAACTTTTCGCGAGAAGCTCAAAGTTTGGCTCACTTTCAAATATCACCACGAAAGTTATTACACAGGTAGTGGAAAATTCGTATAAAAATACTCTCACTCGAGTGGAGATATGAAACTAAATATCTGTTCTTTGGTAGATGTGACCATTACAATATCTGTTGGTCAATACTAAAACCAACACATGAAAATAAGGAACAAACGAATACTAATGACGTTTCTTACAGATTAACATGACTTAAGACAGTGTTTTTCAACCGGGTGAATAGTTCACCCAGGGTTTAATGAGATCAGAATCAGGATGAATGAATACTATCATTTATACAACAAATTCAAGAACAAAAAAGTTATTAGTTATTAGAATTTATTTTAGTTGTAGTTTGATAAATACATTTATTTTATGTTGTATGTTTGTTTGTTTTGTCATTAAGCGCAGAGCTAAACAATGGGCTATCTGTGCTCTGGCCACCACAGGTATCGAAACCCGGATTCTAGCGTTGTAAGTCCTCAGACATGCCGCTGTGCGACTGGGGGGGCCTGGGTGAGAGAGCTGTTGGAAAAACGTATGGAGATCAATGATACTGGAAAAGGTTAAGAAGCACTGGTCTAATACATGAACATAAAGAGATGTGTTTGAGACGAAACAACGTGGAAAATTTATCATTTATAAACAACAAGTATTTCACTATTTGTTTATCGTGAAGGTTTCAGACTGTGAATTGCGTGATTTCTGATTCTATCACCGCTTATAGACTACAAAACCAAATGAATTATTTAAGTTATTATAAACACAAACATTTTAGTTTAAGAAAAAGCCAATCACAAAATAAACATGTTCTAACATCATGTATTTAGTTCTCTTTCGCTCACCGCAGTGAACCTATCTTTGTATGAGATTGGAGGAATATGCAGCATTGATTCTACTAATTTATTGTTCTGAATTATTCAGCAGACGAGCTGTTTAAAATGCTAAAAATAAATATGAAGCTCCCATCTATTACGTGATTCACCACTTGTCACCAAGTTATACCGATTTAAATCCCATCCAACACCCGTAATGGTAGATAGGGGCAAATCGAAAGAACACGAATACAAGACTTCTTGGAGTTGTGGAGTGTATATTTACTTTTAAACATATTTTACCTCGTTCCCATATGCAAACAGTTCTTGCGATATCCGCCTGATGTCGCTCATGTATGGCTGTAGGAGTTTGTTTAGATTACCTGTGTCAGGGAGAGATACGGTTCATTACTGCCCTTGGTGACTGCTAGAGTTAGCCGCTGACATTAGCTCCTGTCTCTTTATTCCCGTATAACCAAAAATATAAACTTCGTGTTTGCAGCAGTTTACACTGTGAGCCAGCCTAGCTAAAAACATTTGTGCAGTTTTTGTAATATGCTTGACTAGCTGCCAAGGTGGAGGATCCTCACAGTTCTGTTTCTGTGACTGATGATTCGACATCACGATCCAGAGATGATAGTCGAAAGAAAAACAAACATTTAAGAACTGTGTTCTTGATTCGCAACGGCGAAGTGTACAAGTTCTTTATCAGTAAGTCTGAAGCGGATTCGACGCTGAGTCCTGCACGCCCGACACTGGCGGTAACGGCGCCGCCCGACGAACCGACGACAGGAGCATCGGATGGCCGTCCTGATGTTATTGTTTGTGAGAAGTCCGAGCGCCGAGTACAGCTCCGGCCGCCATTGTCTTTCTGTTCCGGGTCAACATCTCTCTCCGGCTCCGAAGACGCCACATCTTTGCCCCTCGTGGCAAGCAGACCTTTCGCTGTGCTTCTTCGGCTGAGGGTAACTCAAATAGTAGCTGGCATTGTAACTGTCCTATTTGGTACTGTGGCCTGCTTAGATTCAACCACCAGGTCCACTCTAGGATTTGGCATTCCTGCCGGTGCCCTCACTGTACTCGCTGCTGCCCTTCACATGCAGGCATCCCGCCGTCAGTTCCATGCTGCTCTTGCTGGCAGTTCGACTCTGTTTTTCGGGTCTGGTGGATCTCGCCAGGCTCCTCTTCTACATGTCCTTCGTCCTTTATTGCCGACTCTAGCTTGCGTATTAGCATCACTTCTGTTACTAGCCCTGGCGTGCATGGCCCTTGGTGGACAAGACAGAAACCTTGTAGCATTAGGTATTTTCCAATCTATCACTGCTCTAGTAGTGTTATCAACAGAGGCTATAGTATGGGCTCTGCGATGGCACTGGACGATTAAGTCTCAATACTAGAAATACTTGATTGTGAGATAAAAACAGGGACATGCTTCTTTTTATGACTTTTAACGTTAAAGTGAATGCAGAAGTTATAGAAGCATATCTCAACATTAAACTGATACCAAAAAACCCACTCAACTTTAACATGGATACTATAACGACACTGCACAAGTTTGGGTACTGAAAGTAACGTAAGAATACTGAAGTTAATGTGTGTGCATTAGGGATATAAGACTTGCTCGATTGGACGGTTTAAGTTCTCCAGAAGAGAGGCAGACTGGTAATGTCAATTGATTACAAATAAAGAGAGAGAGAGTGAAATTACTTCAAGATAAGAATGTGTTCAGCAAAGACAGCCATTGAAATTGAACGTCTAAAATCTTTCTCAGAACACCTACAAGAACGCTAAATGACACTTTTACTTTAGAGCGTATAAGTGTTTTTACTTTAGAACATATTAAGGTAAGTCATTTTGTAACAGAGTGATAAAGACATGAAACGGATTTGCTGAGATAAGATAATAGTTTTATGTAAGAAACAACAGTCGAAATGGAAAAATTCCAAACTATCATTTTAATACTTACTTTAAGAATGATCAGTTAAGATCAGTACAGAGAGTGGTGATATATATATGCATCATAGTCGTGTAAGATGTTTTCTTAGGTCATCTCGCAGAAGCTGTGATTAATGTAATTGTTAGGACTCCAATAATTCCTGAAGAGTGCATAATGAAATGATGAACACGAGCAAACGAACACATAAAGAAGAGTGGTCAACTAACAAACCATAATATAGAACAGTTCATAATAGTTTGCCAGGAGAAACTGAGAAAAAAACTATACACCCAAACATATGATTATTTAAGATGAAATTCAGGATTGGTCAGTCGAGACTGGTGTTTAACACGAAACAGAAGTGATCAACTTATAACATTGAACATTAGTAGTTGGTTAAATGTTTTACTTGGAATAGAACAGTAGAAGTGACATCCTATGTATTAAAAGTGCTGTACTTGGAATAAACACGAAGACGTTTTCTTCTAAGAAACATTGGAATATGTTCTACGGCTGGTCAGTTGAGATTTATGTTTAACATGAAACAGAAGTGACCAACTTATAATTATAACAATGAACATTAATGTTTGGTTAAATACTCTACTCGAAATACTCCAGTAAAAATGATATTCTAAAAATCAGTAAAATATTTTCCAGGATTGATAATTATCTTATAAGTCTAGTTTTATTCATAACACGATATAGAAGTTATAACACTGATTACTAATGGTTGATGAAAATTCTTTACTTGAAATATTCCTACAGAAATCTTCTATAAGTACAGTTTGATATCTTCCCGATTTACCAAACAAGAATTGTGTTTCAGATGGAATAGAAGAGATCAACTTCTAACATTGAACATTAGTGATTGATTAAATGATCAGCTTGGAATAGATCAGTAGAAGTGATATTCTATATATTAGAGTACCTTCTAAGATTATTAAGTCAAGGCCTTTACTTAACATGAAACAGAAGAAATCAACTTAGAACACTGATATCATTGTTTGGTTAAATGCTGTTCTTGGAATAGGCCAGTAGAAGTGACATTGTAAGTATTATTAGAATACAGTCTAAGGGTAGTGAGTCAAGGCCTGTGTTTAACATAAAACAGAAGAGACCGACTTATAACATGAACATTAGTGGTTGGTTAAATGTTTTACTTGGAATGGTCCTGTTAAAGAATTATTATAATGTTTCAGGACTGGTGAAAAAAAGACTTGTGAAAACGAAGAGATAAACCTAGAACTTTTAACAGCCAGTGATGGTCGTTAAAGGCTGTACTTGATCTAATCTCCTAAAAAAAGGTTAGATTACTTTCCACTACTGATGAGTTGAGACTTGTGCTTAACATGAAACTGGAGTGAAAAACTTAGAATACTTAACGATAGGTGGTAGTTGATTTTTTATTTGAAATAATCCCTTAGTCTGACCTTCTAAGAATTATTATACTATGTTATAGAACTGGTGTGTCCTTAACATGGAACAGAAGGGATTAACTTAAAATATTTAACAGCAGTGAGAAATAAATACTGAAATACTTGTAGAATTGATCGTGTAAGAATCATTAGAATATGTGTCAAAATGGACGTATACTTAATACGAAAAACAAGTGATCAAATACGAAAAATAAAGCATTCTGTCCTTGGAGTTCTTAAGATTACTTAAAATGTAATCATGGATTAAACTTGAAGTCCAGAACTAAATTTGAAAACAAAGAAAGGTGATTAACCGAACAGTCAAAACAATTAACATTAACGATTATAAAACGTTCCAAGCAGGTGTGATTAATCCCACAGAAGTAAGAAAATTGCTCTGTTATCTTTCGAGTATAATAGACGATAACGAGGAATACTTCTTGTGTAAAATATACAGATGAAGACGCACGTTCTCTCGAGACTAACATACGTATCAGTTCTGGTCATAGTGCTTACAGAAATATTTCTTATGGCCCTACACGAAAACTATTATTCAGTAAAACATTGCGTATTATTCAAAGTAACTTAGCAAGAAAGCATCGCGGCTTTCATGCTCCGTATTCTCGTTGTTCAGTATAATTGTCACATTACTATATGTTGTGAATATATAAACTGACTGTATGGATTATAATATTCCTATTACATACGTCTCAATATCACTTATTGGCTACTTTCCATTTTTCTCTTAGCTCTATTTTTGAATCATCTAAAACAATATCTGTAGTTTACGATCACAATTATGTTAAAATGGTTTAAAACTCAAACCGTCCTTATTTTGCAAAATACAAAATACAAAAAAAAATCAATTATTTTCTGATTTAAGTTTTAATTTTAGTTTATAGAATTAATTTTAATTCAAACCCAGACGAAGGTGTTATTTGCTTTGTAGGGCTAAGGCGGTAATAAAAGAACGTACACTAGCATAAGCAGAGAGTTTTAAGAATTAGAATAATCTGTATATACATATATATAATAATTCAGCTTTTTGATCTATTTTTTTATATACTTTGGTATTTTCAAATTGTGTTTAACCAAACATCTGCCCGTATTTCTAAATATAGTTTACTTCTTGAAGTTCTTACTTCTTTCAGCCAGTCATCTGCCTGCCTTTCTAAATATAGTTTACTTCTTGAAGTTCTTACTTCTTTAAACCAGTCATCTGCCTGTCTTTCTAAATATAGTTTACTTCTTGAAGTTCTTACTTCTTTCAGCCAGTCATCTGCCTGCCTTTCTAAATATAGTTTACTTCTTGAAGTTCTTATTTCTTTAAACCAGTCACCTGCCTGTCTTTCTAAATATAGTTTACTTCTTGAAGTTCTTACTTCTTTCAACCAACCATCTGCCAATCCTTCTAGATATAAATAATATCTTGAGGTTCTTACTTCTTTCAACCAGTCATCTGTCTGTCTTTATAGATATAGTTCACATTTTGAGGTTTTTTTTTTTCAACCAAGAGTTTCCGCATGTCTTTCTATACATAGCTTATCTTAGGATTCTTACTTATTTCAACCAATAATCTGTCTGTTTTTTTTTCTCAAAATGATCGTTTTTGGATCATCGTGAATGTTGCATTAGAACTCAATACTTCAAAACCTTAACAGATATTGATGAAATTTGATACGAACACCAAATTTTAAAGTAGAAAGTAGAAAGTAGAAAAACGACCGAGGTCAAAGAAAAGAACAATTATTATTGCAGATCATTTAATAAAGCATGAAACATGTTTAGATGATTACTGCAGATCATTAAATAAAGCATGAAACATGTTTGGATGATTATTGCAGATCATTTAATAAAGCATGAAACATGTTTAGATGATTATTACAGATCATTAAATAAAGCATAAAACATGTTTAGATGATTATTGCAGATCATTTAATAAAGCATGAAACATGTTTAGATGATTATTACAGATTATTTAATAAAGCATGAAACATGTTTAGAGTGATTTAATTTTATTCCAGTCGATGAGCAGCTGATCGAATTTTGAAAGCTACAAGATGATATAAAATCTGATAGTTGATATTCACATGTGCTCCTCTTTGTGTAAATTTAGTTGAAAATGGTTAACGCGTTTGCGCTACTATAAAGTATACCTTTTTTTACGTGTTATAATAATCTCAAAAAAACAACAAAATACCTTAAAACAGTAACAAGAGGTATTTAATGTTGTAAATATGGTGTTTTGTGGTTGGATCTAATCAAGATATATATTTTATGATGTCTCGTACTGGTGTTATATACGTTTAATTCGGAGAATTAAAGTGATTATTTTATGTTACTAGTAATGTATAATTTTTCTGTTTACATAAAAATCTATTGATGTTCGGTAACGTCTGTGATATTTTGTGGTTTTAAAGCAACTGTTAAATAAAACGTAGCCTGTCTTTCAGACTATTGATATTATATGTTATATATGTATATAAATATATATTTATAGTCCTGCTCAATGCTTTTATTTTCGTGTAAATCCGTGTTTCGTTTAACCCAAAAAACGTGAGAAAAAAAAAACACCTTGTAACAAAGGTATAGATAGTTATGATTATGAAGGAATAAAAAGTATTATAAAGACAACGACCAATCTTGTTTTAACCACACCACGAACAGAATAACAAATCAACACGAATTCCATTAAACTGAATTTAGTTATTACCTGTTATCCTTGAAAAAACAAAACCAAAGAAAAGCTGCTACAAAGTAGGAACCACTTCTATACATGAACATTGTACTAGTATCATGTATATCATTAAAGTAAAACTGTGAATTACATGAAATTTGATAGAAAATTTTACTTCCTTTATCATATGGAACATATAATTGATTGTACTTACGTGTTTTGTTACTATTCTGAGAAGCAATATAATCTATTGCATCAATTTTTAATTTGATTTTAAGCTTTGATCGTCAGCAACTATGTGTGACGTGTTAGTGGAGGTTAATTGGATGAAAGAAATTATATTTTTCTTGTAAACTATGAAAGCGACTAAAGATAAACCTTATGAGCCTATAAGCTCCCACCAATGCTCAGTGTTAAGTCTTCAAGCTTAAGACGGTAAAATTCGAGTTTCGATACTCGTGGTGGGCAGAGCACAGATAGCCCATTGTGTAGCTTTTACGATGAACAACAACCAAACCAGAACTATATAGTAGCGGATCAAAAGTTGATATTAGAGCCATGAACAATTAATAAAATATAATGAGATTTGATCAAAAATTTATAATAATCTGTACTATTAAGCGACTTGTTTGTGTATGTCTGTTGTACTTTATTTTCATGACGAAATTTTTCCAACTTCCCTATCTCTGAACACAATGACTATTTCAAGGATTCCTGTTTATGTATCGGAGGGATTCTAAAATGCGTATTTTCTTTATTTTCTCATTTTTTACGAGTGTGACAGACATTTCAATTTCCCCTCTTGCAATTGCCTTAGCGCAGTCGAATGACGCACGTCGTCCTGCCATCTACGTGAAGCCTACGAACTGAATTACCGTGCCTGGTGCAAGTACTGTTGATATTAAGACTAGCGTCTAAGGACCTTGACTTAACCTATCGTTCTGTCTACCGACATAATAGTGAATTTCAATCTCTATTTTGCGAATCAATAGGGTCCATGAAAACATGGGAACAAGAAATAAATCTATGGTAGATAAGACGGGTTAAAAAATAACACAAAACGACATGAAAACATGGGAACAAGAAATAAATCTATGGTAGATAAGACGGGTTAAAAAATAACACAAAACGACATGAAAACATGGGAACAAGAAATAAATCTATGGTAGATAAGACGGGTTAAAAAATAACACAAAACGACATGAAAACATGGGAACAAGAAATAAATCTATGGTAGATAAGACGGGTTAAAAAATAACACAAAACGACATGA